AATAAAATGCAATCAATGAGAGATGACAATCAAAACATGTACAATAAAATTTGAATTAGAAATGAGAATCAGATCTGTGAATGAATATGTTTATAGTTTTTCCCTGTATTGGCTAGTTATTTGGATGTGGTTAATTTGAAGTCTACTTTTCATCGTGCTGGCAGTTCAGCCGCATGAACAAACATCCACGAAGTTCTAAATTTTCTCTGTGTCTACTTTATACCTAATTAAAAATTAGAATCAGTTCCCTGAATAAATATCTTTACAGTTTTTCCCTTCATTGTCTAGTTATTTGCTTATATTGTGCTGGCTGGCGGTTGAACTGCAAGAACGAACATACATGAAGTTGTAAACTTTGCGTGTCATCTTATTTTTGTTCATTAATATTGATAGTGAGTATATTATGAGCTCTCTTGTAGAGAGCGGGGGTGGGGGTGGGTGGTCTATGGTTTAACATGTGCACGTGAAATCAAGAGGTCTATCATAGAGTCAAGTGGCGTGGTTTTGATTCCCCGATTGTATGTGACAAGGAGTAGGGTCACCTGTCCAATCTCGGGTTTTTCTCTGGGTCCTCTGGTATCCTCCCACTGCTAAAGACCCCTACGCGCAAGGGATTTATATGTCAAAAACTGACCAGCTTGCGAAATCGAAAAGTGAAAGCACTGGTGTGCATTTTTATTTTTTGTAATTGTGTATTATACAAAATATATTTATGTAAATGGGCAGCACATCACACAGACAAGAATAAATTATCACTAGATATCATTCACAAATTGTACTGGACACTTCATAATATCATTTTCAACACCTTTAGTCTGACATATCTTACTTATCAGAGTGTCAGAAACATTTGGTGAAACTGGGTGAAATCTGTCTATTTAATCACCACCTCTGCCAATTTTCATCACAGGGGTTATGCCACATGGCTTAACAAGTACAGGTAGTCCAGTTGGTGCAGAAAAGTAGGATGTTACACCTCATTTCATTTCATTCTCAAATGATTTTTTTTTTTTTGGCCAGTGCCATATTTGGTTATCAAGCAGTGTCTAGTTAGTCGGATGGGATGAAATCACGAGGTCCTGTGTACTCATTTCAGTGCACATAAGACCTTTAGACTTCAATAAAGAGTAGGCTGTCCAGGCAAATTTCCCTCATAGCACAGTGCATATGGTGCATGCCCATCTTCATTTGTCCAATTGGTGTAGATAAATAATAGAACGTTAAACAACATTTCATTACACGCCTCTTTAAGACAAACGAGACCAGACAAATTGATATTATCTCTTTACGGAATTGATAATTTGCCATAGCCAAATTCACCTAATGCAACTTTTATAGTTATTGGTGTAATCTGACTGAGTAACGGAGGTATCCCATCATCCAATGCTTGCCGTCAAATCATATTAACCTTTTGTCTCAGATATCAAGAAACATAGTCGTTACTTAACGATATTTTATGCATATCATGAGATAAAGAAATCAATGAAAATAATTATAAGCGGCCATGAAATAGAATATATTGCGATAATGTCAAATGATATTCGTATTAATGAAGGTTGAATTGTTTATTAAAAGATTTTCCATAAGATTTCGACGTACTGTCCATGGGTCAGAGATGTAATCTAATAACATCCCAGCATGCTTTATAGGATAACTCGCTAGAGTATAATGTTTAATCTTTACAATGTAATTGAATTACGACTGGATGTTAATGGCTACCTATACGTCTGCTCACTCTGGTTTACGTTAATCTTTCCAATAATCTGATTTGTTACCAGATCCATGTTAGCCAATCACATTACACCTTAAATGTGACCTCTATTAGCTGGAGTTAAAATCTATTACAGTGTTTTTTGACCTTGACTCCTGCCTACAGTTCAATTTTTGATGTTCCTCAAATTTGTTTGTTTTTCAAAATTACATAAAAATCTGGTTTCTTTTGATTTTAAATGCAAACTAAAAGCCAATTTTAAGACCATACACAATAAAAAGTGGTCTCGCCAAAAAGCATTGCATGAATGCATGAATAAAATGAAAATGAAATGAAATGGGGTTTAACGTCCTACTGATCTCCTCCAACTGGCTAAGGAAGACGGGCATATGCCATACAGTGTGCTATGAGAGAAATTTTGCCTGGACAGCAGCGCTACACCCTACTCTTATATCGAATTCCAATCGCCAATGTGTACACGGGTCCTCGGTTTTTCATCCCACCTTAACAACTAGACAACAGTCCTTGTCAGGCCCTCCATCCTGCACTTCTGACAAGGTGAAACCACACCAGAAAATCTCAATGAACTTTCTCAGCCAACACTGGGAGCAAACCCACAACCTCAAGGCTAGCGAGCCAGTGTCTTACCCACTTAGTCCCCATGGCTCCCCTGAATAAAATGGGATGATTTGATGCCAGACTTTATTGTACTATTCGTGAAAGTTGAATCTTTGAAAGGAATATTCAGTATTTACAAAGATATGATGAATTGAACGTGTCAGTGCTGATAGTAAGGTCAACATCTAACCATTGCTTCAGTACTGGGCAATTCCCAAAATTTTGCGCTCGCTGTGTTTACACGTGATCAATTAGCATTGTCCAATCAGGGGTCGTCGCACATAACACACTGTAAACAAATATGGCGGCCTCCATAGAAACTCTTTGTTGATCAGGTATGATTTTCAGCAACCTTGACATTGATCGAACCTTGAACTTTGCAACTCGAATGTCACATGTAGACATTTTAGCTATAAGCGCGAGACTTGATAATCGTAACGATATTTTTAACGAAGGAATCTGATAGGATCACAAGCTGAGCTTATACCCAAACAAAAATAGTGCCAAAATATGCGGGGTATTACGTGAAGGGCTTGATAAGATGTACGTAGTTAAGGCGAGATTAAGCCTTCTATTGAAGATGGGTCAACACAACCTGGTACAACAGATGATTTTCCCTGAAAACTTTTGATAGGCGTCTTATTAATAGAATTGTATCCAAGCCGGAAGATGATCTACCATTTATATTTTGATTTTGTTTTTCTAAAGATACATTATTTAAGATTGCTTTAATAGTTCAAAAATAGATAATGCAAAATGAATATATTGAAAATTTCATTCAAATTACTTTATTCTGAGCCACGTTATCACTGTTTGTATTTTTGACAAGATGTGTGCATTATCGTAACCACGGTACTGGTATATTCGAGACTAATCCTTGCTTCTCCATTTTCAAATTAAATCATGAAATAGCCGACCGTTCTAATCTTCTTAAAATCGGAGCCAACCGATGGCATCGAGAGTTGATTATGGTCTTGTCATGTTACTCAATGTCTAATCAATAATATATATAATTTCTAGTAATGTATTTAAGGCCCAAATTGGCAGATTTAGCTCTTACATAATGCCTGTTTAAAGGTCACCGGAAAAGGTTCATAATTTTTTTTAAATAATGCAAGTAATTATGTCAACATATCCTTTCCATAAGTATAACACGAACCCAAATGTCAATATTATCTGCAACAGGTAAATTTCAACATTAGCAATTTCTGCCATTCTCTGTGGGTAGTCATAACTTTCCGTCAATAAGCAATCTGTGACGTCATTTTAGTCCTTCTGCACATAGAAATATAGACCCGGGTTCGGGTTATAGTTATGGAAAGGATATCTTGACATAATTACTTGCATTATTTAAAAAGAAATTGATGCTTTTCCGGTGACCTTTAAGTAACTGTTACAGAATCAGCTGGAGTACAATTGAGCTTGGAAGATTTTATATTTTCTGCTAAATTCAAATGATGCCCAGAGACTTAAAAAAAAAATCATGTAGTACAAACTAGAGCTGGGCGATATTTCGGTTTTTCGACATAAAACCGTCATAAATAATGTCTTCAAAAAAATATTAAAAACCTGAACATACCCTGATATATCACGGTATTGAAAAATTACTTCCTTATTATGTTATTTACGATACTTTATTGCTTGGTGATGAATAAATACTGTTATTTAAAATCCTGACTGTTTTTTGTCGCGTGACTTCTCGCTCATTTTTCCACCCAACGAATCGTAAGAATTATCCCTGCTTCTGTTCAATTTCTATGCCTTTTGACAAATTTTTTATACCGATACTTTGATTTCCAAAGGAATCATTGATTTTCAGATTGAAATAAATTTTAATAAAGCAGAAATATAAATAATGCCAACTATATAGAAAGTACGGGTAGACTGATTATCATTTAGCATCGGAACATGTCATGCCGGCCTGTGTTCCGAAAAATCGCTATTTCACTAAATCAATGGATACTTTTTGACATAATACTTATGTTTTGTAGTTTAATTCAGTATTGTTGTATTGTAAAATACATTTTCAATTAGGCATACACTTGAATGAGAAAATGAGTTTTCAAGAGTAAATGAATAGCATTCAATGCACGGCCGAAAGAACGCAAACTTTTTTTGGATGTTATTTACTTTTTTTTTTATGCCTCTTTCACATGTAATTATTTTTTATTTAAATAAAATATCCCATTGTTAGGTAGTCTTTGTGGCTATATAAATCTATGTTCATAGGCGTAGGAGCCGGGGGGGAAATGCCCCCCCCCAAATTTATTTTCGGGCAATGAAAAATTCGACGACCTTTTTTTTTCTATTAACGTTTAGAGAGAAAATATAACTAACTTATTTCTATGAGATCCACACTGCCCGAAAAGTATTTTCTCGTCTTTTTCTTGTCCACTGCATGCCCAAAAATATACCCGAAGCTCTCTTATGATATGTATGCCCGAAAAAACGGTATTGATTTCGGGCAATTTTCTCTTATGCCCCCCTGAATTACTTTGAGCTCTTACGCCTATGTCTATGTTTGAACCAGCTTATTAAATTTTGTTTGTAAATTTGGTGCTGTATTTATGCTAAAAACTTTTAATAATATTGCGCGCATGACTAGAAAGTGTCAAGTGAATACGTATCTGGGGTATTTCCAACTTTTTAAACATGTTTATTTACAGTTAAAGGGTGATAAACTGAAATTATTGACATTTTATAAAATATCGCGAAATACCGATTATCTGTTTCCAGGGATATCGCCCAGCTCTAGTACAAACTAGTACTTCGATCAGCCTAAAAGAAAAAAAATATAAAAATCTGAATGATAAAAGATACGATGGGGAGATAAGCGATCATTATAAGAGGATTATCGCGAACTTTAAAGATGATAATATCAATGGTATTGACTGACGTAGAGGGCACCATCAGTCACGATTAGACAAGATTAACATGTCATAATAATGCCGCACGAAACCATCAACAGTGCTTAGATATGACATACTAATCTTCAAGATGAAAACAATACCCTATAAGGGGATTAATTCGCCAAAAAATACAAGAAAACAATTTCCGCTGAACGTCTCAATGGGTGGATTACATTGTTTGTGAACTCGAGAGGACAACCAAAGTGCAAAAATGATCTAAGACCTGGATAATCTAACATTATTGATAGAATAACAACATCAGGAAATGGATCTTAACATGAATTCATCTTATATGGTAGTAAAAAAAAACGATTGAGGATTTAATGGGCTCGTAAAAACGATTGGTTGTTTCCGTGCAGTTCAAATGTCAATGTTTATAAATAAAACAGTTAGAGATTAATGTTCATAATAACCTTTAATCCAGAATGGTCATGGATTAAGAATACTGGCCACCTAGCAATACTCAATGTTTACTCCCACTGACGCTGTAACTGTAATACAGAAATTTCAAGAGTGGAGATTCACCAGTGAATCACTGAATGGTGACCATAAAATAACATCCTGACAATTGCATCTGCATAAAACTGTAATCATCATATCTTACAATATGACTTCAAGCCCAACCCTCTAAAACCTGCAATCATATACCTTATATGTACAGCTACAAATCCAAGCTCGCTGGCCGGGAGGTCTCGTGTTTGCTCTCAGTTTTGCCCGAGAAAGTTCTCAATATTTTCCAGTGCTGTTTCCCCTTGCCAGAAGTGCAGGATGGAGGGCCTGACAAGGACAGCTGTCTAGTCATTCGGATGGGACGAAAAATGAGATCCTGTGTGCATGCACGTAAAAGAAGCCTTGACAGTTGGAATTCGATATAAGAGTGGGTCATAGCGCTGCTGTCAGGACAAAATTCCCCTCATAGCACACTTCATGGTGTAAGCATTGGTTCATTAGCCACGTCAATGCAGAAAAGTAGAATGTTAAACCCCATTTCATTTCCAACCAATACCATACAATAGGACTTTAAACCACAGTTTGTTTCTAATAACTGAAATGGCTGTTAGTAGAGAATGGAGAGAGAAAAAATAACCACCAGAAAATCTAACACTGAAACCATCTTGTTTCAGTTTTTCAAATGAAACAATTTATTTCTCTGGTTTTCATCAGAATTCAATCAAATAGTGTAATTTTATTTTTATCACAGAGCAGCAAGAAACAGTTCAAACATTGACATCTTAATTGTCACCATTAAACTTAACCAATATATCCTGTTGTTTTGATGTAAATGACTGTCGGTTAGAACACAATAAATTAATAGAGAGAGAAATGGGTCTTAACGTCCACACGACACAAACTAGGTCATTTCGGGACTAACATATGGTTCAATTTTATTTCAATAATTCGCTTGCGGGTAGGCGTCTTTAGCAGAGGGAGAAAACCGGAGCACTCGGAGAAAACCCACAAGGTTAATTAATTAAAAACACGACAATCTGGAAAAAATGTTCATGTGGTTAAAGACAAATTATTTCCTGACAAGGGAATGAAAGAAAATGGCTTAATGATGGAGCAATGAACTCTTCATTTGTAGGATCCCATGTTCGATCCCTGCATTGGTTGAGAAAGTTCATAGGGATTTTCTGATTTTCCGGTAGAGTAAAAAATGGAGATGTAAAAAAAATATGAAGAACGTAGGGTGAAAAATATGGAATGGGTCGAGTGAACAATATGAAATGGGTAGAGTGAAAAATATGAAGAGGGTAGAGTGAAAATGTGAAATGGGTAGTGTGAAAAATATGAAATGGGCCGTGTGAAAAAATGAAATTGGTAGGCTTTAAATTATAAAGGTATCATTTGTTGAGGATAGATTGTAATTAAAAAAAAAGGTTGGGCAAAGGTTATTTTTGGACTAACATATAACTCGCTCAGGGGCATAAATTGTCGGTCTAAAAATAAGAGCAGTCCGACTCTAAATTATGCATTTCAAAAGCTTGCGGTGTTCGTCTCATGGCTGCGTCACTTATATTACAGGCCGGTGGATCAGTCGGTCTCATTTTTTGCTAAACACTGCAAGCCCCTCCCCGCCCGAAACAAAATCGATAGGTACGTCTCTCAACTCACATTGTGAATATAAGGTTCTTTAGCAGTGGGAGAAAACCAGAGAAATCCAAAAGGTTAGACAGGCAATCCTACTCATTTTCTCATACAAGCTTAGGGACAATTCAATGACAAGCTCCAATGTATTTTCAGATCTCATAACTGAATGTTGCATCTTTATACTATGTCAATATTTAATGAATAATAGTGTTAAAAAAAAAAAGAATATAAAAAAATGAATAAAGTCGATTGACAGAACAGAATGATTTCTTTCACATGCGTTGTGAGCTTGACAGCGATTTATCGTAGATTATTGTATAGATTGACAGAAAGATTTAAATTCATTAGGTTATAGAATTTCCATATTCTTTTTATCATGGAATACAATAAAGATATTATCTTTTAGTCACGACGAAATGTACATTACTCTTAATTTACATCCTTAAAAAAATAGGAAATTTCACTTTTACCATTTATTAATGCAGTGATCAATCATAAATCAGTGTTTGGAATAGTGGAGACTTTCTCTTTGACACGTATAATAATTACCCATAATACACACACATCAAATTTATGACATTTATACGACAATATTTATGTTTTATGACAGGAATGATGCGATATTGATAAACAGACGTTATTATTGTTGATTAATAATAATTATTAAATTATTACAGACAAAAATACGATAATGATGAACTTTATTGAAATTCGAAAAAAAAAAAAAAAAAAAATGAAATGGAGTTTAATGTTCTTCTCCTTACCCTTGGTTTTTCATCCCTTCTGAATGACTATACGTTGTCCCTTGTCCTACATCACTGACAAGAGGGAACCACACCTGGAAATCCGGATGAAGGAATTTCGGAAAATCACAGGTGAAAAAAAAGGGATACAAAAACACAAAATTAGGTTATAACACTAAGTACAAGAGGACTGTACTACATGCAAACAAAATGAAATGAAATGAAATGGGGTTTAACGTCCTACTGTTCTGCTCCTAACCTGGGTAATGAAGACGGGCATACGCCATACAGTGTGCTATGAGGGAAATTTTGCCTGGGCAGTGGCGCTACGGCCTACTCTTATATCGAATTCCAACTGCCAAGGGATCTTTTTCGTGCAAGCCAATGTGTACACGGGACCTCGGTTTTTCATCCCATCCAAATGACTAGACAGCTGTCCTTGTCAGGCCCTCCATCCTGCATCACTGACAAGGGGAAACCACGCCGGAAAATCTGGATGAACTTTCTCGGTCAATGCAGGGATCGAACACCCGACCTCCAGGCTACCGAGCCAGCGTCTTACCCACTTAGCCACGTGATCCCCCAAACAAAATGAGAAGACAAACATGCGCACAAGACAAACTACACTGTAGACATAGCAAGAAATAAACAACATCATTATATATTAAATCAAGTGAATGGACCTGGGGAAATAAAATAAAATGAAATGGGGTTTAACATCCAACTGTTGTGGTCCGAACTGTGCTAATGAAGACTGGCATACGCCATACAGTGTGCTATGAGGGAAATTATATCGAATTCCTACTGTCAAGGGATATTTTAGGTGCATGCCAATGTATACACAAGACCTTGGTTTTCCGTTCCATCCGAACGACTAGACAGCTGTCATTGTGAATGGACCCGGGGCCAGCTTAAGTGTCCACGGTGCTGTAATGCAACAGAGATAGAATGAAATGAGGTTTATGAAGATGGGCATACACCATGCAAGCAGTGATCAAAAAGTGGTGCTATGGCCTTCTCTTATTTCCGAATCCAGCTTTCAAGGGTTCTATTACATGCATGCAAACGTGTACACACGACCTTGGATTTTTCGTCATATCCGCTGCTGATTGCCAGGTCCTTCATTGTGAACGAAGACCTCCTGGTTAGTGAGTCAGTGCCTTACACATTGAGTTGATGCAGCTCCAACTGAAGTCAGAATCTACGAAAGCCCAGATGGCTCATTCCAAATTCCAAATTCCAAATGTGAAATTCCAAATTCATGTCTTACCAATCAAAGGAATTTGCCATTTGATTGGTAAGTCATGAATTTGCAATTTGGAATTTCGCATTTGGAATTTGGAATGAGCCTTCTGGGCTTTTGTAGAAGTTGGCATGCACAAATATTTAGTACAGTAATAATTTATTTTAAAGAGAGAGAGAAATGGGGTTTAACATCCACTCAACACAAACTAGGTCATTTTGGGACTAACATATGCTTCAATTTTATTTCAAAAATTTCCTTGCACACTGGGGTCTTATTAGCAGTGGAAGGAAACCAGAGGGCCCAGAGAAAAGCCATTAGGTTGGAAATTTATTTCAAAACAAGGTTTAAATGATTAACACATATAGTGTCGCATATATAACAAATATCAAGTGTAGGGGTCAATAATACAACCCTCAAAATTTTTTTTTCGAATCTAATAGACTTTTAAAAATAATTTTTAGTTTGTGGCATTTTGTATATCTTTAGTGGTAAAATGAGATTTATTTCAAGTTGAATTTCTATCATTGTCTATACAATCTCTTCTGGAATTTTTATGGGGGTAAATTCCACACAAAAGCCCCCAACCGTATCCAAAATATTTTGAAACACGCTGAATCAACTGCTTTATAAACATACAACATGTTGACAATGATACTCTCATCTTTATCAAGTTTTAGTGCATTACTCAAAGAAACATTTTGGAAATCAAATTGAAAATGTGTTCAAATTACTATATAATCTTCAACAGTGTGAAAAACATTATATGATGTCAATTACAACTGTCATAATAATCATAATCAATAAACTTGTCTACCGATCAATCAACTAATTAATCATAGTGATCAACAAAATGTCAATTAACAGTAGGTTTAATATATAAATAATATGACATGTAACACAATTCAATGTTTATTTGTCTAAATGTTCGTCTCTATTCATGTTTGTTTCATCAAATGTTTGTGTTGTCTAGTACGATAATTCACTGTGTACATTATTACATGCAATAGTCTGCGATATCACTTTTGTGGAAAAAGAAGTTAAGTATAGTTTAATGGTCGAGTGCAAGACATTAAGTAATATATTGATATTGCATGAGTGCGTTAGCGATATCACTTCAGTAGAAGTGGACATTAAATAAAGCTATTTCACACACACCCAAGAGAACCCCAACCTCTATGTCTCTCTTGTTGAATCAAAGAGAGAGATGGGGTTTAACGTCCACTCAACACAAACTAGGTCATTTTGGGACTAACACATGGTTCAATTTTATTTCAATAATTAGCTTGCGTGTAGGGGTCTTTAGCATTGGGAGGAAACCAAAAGGACCCAGAGAAAACCCACGAAGTTGGACAGGAGACCCTACTCCTTGTCACGTACAACCGGGGAATCGAAACCCTGACAGACTGTATGA